CAAAGAAGCGGGGGGGGGGGCTTTTCCTGTCGCCGCAGCTATTCCGAAGCGCCCGTTTCACCCCCACTCCCACCCCGCGCGCGCGCTTCAATCCACAGTGTCCCATTCTGCCTGCCTGCCTGCCTGCCTTAGTTTCTGGTTGTTTGGGAGCAGCTTCGGCTGAGAATAATAACTATTCGCCTCTTTTACTCAGCCGAAGCTGTTCCGATTCAACCATTAACGAAGGCAGGCAGGCAGGCAGAACGGAGCACTGCGGGCGGGCGGGCGGGCGGACGGGGTGGGGGTGGGGGAGAAACGGGCGCTTCAGGGAAGCTGCGGCAACAGGAAAAGCCCCCCCGCCCCGCTTCTTTGAAGCAGTTTCTTCCTGTGCTGGTGGAGGAGCGAGAGAGCGACTGAGAGAGCTGACCCAGAGAGAAGGACAGGCTTCGGTTGCTTCCTCCCTCCCCTTCTTTCATTTGTGTCCTTGATCCCCGATCCCAGCAGCATTCACCGAAGGCTTCTTAACATTATATCGGCGTATAACACGCATACATCATTTGCCCCCTATTTTCAGGGGGAAAAAAGTGCGTGTTATACGCCGATAAATACGGTACATCATTACAGTATTACAGCAGCTGTTCAGCTATTAAATCATGATTACCCTGACAATTAAAAAAGAAAATTAATCATCACATCACTCAATAGCATGTTAGCATTGTGAAGAATTTACCTAGGAATATCTAAAAAAAAACCTGTTTTAGCTAACATCCCCTGCCCCCTGCAATTGTAGTGCATTATACACAATCAAAGCACAGAGTCTGACAGAATTCAGAACACAAATGCAATTAGAATTTTTCTGGAACGTGGATAGTCTTCAAACTTGTTGAGATACCATCTGAAGAAAAAGAAAAAAAAAGTAAATGAACACATGGTTTGACTCAGACATGTCAAATTCTTAAGAAATGTAAATAAGTATTTTTTCACATTAATGTGTGTAACATTATGATAGAATGTTTCTTATCAATCACAAAAATGAGTTATTTTTTAAATACAAACTATTATGATTTTCTGTTTATATCTTTCCTTTTGGCCCATATGGCATTAAAAGAGCTAACAGTCAAATAAAAACCAGTATAAATCACCAAAAGGATCCTTTTTTAAGAAGTCTGACTTTTTGACTTTTGGAAAAAAGGATGTGGCTGGTTTAATGAGTGGAAGCTTTAAAGAAGCACAGCATCAATCAAACTCTTAAAAGCAAGGGCATATTTTTCCAGTTCTTATGAAAAGCTAAAAAGCAGCATAACAGTTTCAAAGAACAGCAGAAAGATATTAGTTTAGCCAAGATCCAAAGTATTTCTTCCGATTTATTTATGAAGTTTATAAAACCTTTCCAGTGTTATTTAAAAAGCTTATTTTGTATCAGGAAAATATTATAAGAGGTCTCAAAAGTTCAAACATCAAAAAAATAAAGGTGAATGAATAAATCCCTATTATAACCAAAGGAAAGAGATAGAAGGTATAAATGAAAACAGTTAAAATCATCAAATAGAAGAAAAATAATACAGGCAACTGTAATAGCTGATTTAAAATATGGTATAACTGGTATATCAACAGGTTCTGACCAGTTCTGGAGAACAGATAGCAGAAATTTTGAATAGTTCAGAGAACCGGCAAATACCACCTCTGACTGCAGATTTTACAGTATCCTTTCCCTGCCACACCCACCAAGCCACGCCCACAGAACCAGTAGTTAAAAAAAAATGAATCCCACCACTTGATAATAATGTTTGCAAAGATTTGCAAAAGTATTTTTAATGTTAATCAGGAAATGTTTGCTCAGTTCTCAGATCTGAAATTATAGGATATAATCCAACATAGAAAGTTGGAACATCAATTTAAAATAGATATTTATGAAATTTTAAATTTTCAGAAAAGATTATAAATCTGGTTCACATTTCTTTCATTTGTTTCTATATAACTCCATTCCCTCCACATTAAATGCATAGAACCTAACAAATTCACCAGGGAAGTTAATGGCTGTATATTAATTATTTTAAAAATATGTATAGCAAAACCAAAAGTCTGGTTGTTTGGCAAGCTTGTTTACTTGAAAGTATGGCCACACAAATCCATCAATAAAACATCATTTCTAGGGACCTTCTCTAGATAACAGTTTACTGGTTTTCCCTCATATAATACCCATGGAAGGGGCAGGATATCATCTATGTTCCACTGTTCTCAGAGGTATCTTGTGGGCCTTTTTGCAATGTATCTCAAAGTTTTATTCAAGTGTTCAATCAGGCAGGTTCACTTTGGAATATTAACAAGAACGTTCTTGCAAATGAGCTATCTAAATTACATAGTGTTTTTAAGGTAATTAGTAGTAGTTTTAACCTTTCGGTTGTGTCCAACTCTTGATGACTTTATAGGCAAGTGCTTTCCATGCTACCCTGCCAAGCACAGCTTCTTTCAGAGTTGGAGGTTCATCTTTGTAACAGCTTTGATGGTATCAACCCAGAGTATTCTTTGCTTGCTCCTTTGCCTTGATCCACTAACAATTCCTAGCAACAATGACTTCTCCAGTGAATTTGCATGCATGACATGAACAAAGTAAATCAGTCTTGTTATTTTGGCTTCTAGTGATGTTTCAGGTTTTATATGATGATTTATTCTGGTTTTATATGACTGATCTTTATTGAGAAGTACTTTTAATTAAAAAATACAATTTTCAAAAACCAACCAACATTCTTAGATGAACCCAGTGTTTACATTAACTATTTTTTCCTTTAAAAACTAAAGAATAAATGTACCACTAATTTCTACCAGAAACATAAGTTCAGGATAGATAGGCAGCAAGTATCTGCAACAATCATCACATAAACTCAAATGAACATTTAAAAGAAATTATGATTTTTGGAAACTCACTGGTGATGCCGATATGCTCGGCTTCCTAATAGCAGTAATGTAGTGATGGCAAAAGCTGTACTTTCTACTGTGTTGCATGCAAGAGCAAATCCACACCATTCAATAATCTCCCCAAAGAAGTTAGCTCCACTTACATATTCAAACATTCCTCCTACAGAAAAATACAGTTGAATTATTGACTTGGCAAATAAAGCTTTATATACTTCAACAAATGCAAACTGGAATTGTCTTGAATATTTTTCAACCACATCTATAGTGAATATGAAATAAATCAAGAAAATTAGTCAACACAACCACTGGGCCATTGGGGGGGGGGCAGCAGAGATGTCAGGGCTGGTCTCCCCCCTCAGCAAGCCAGGCCTGGAAGAACGCAAAGAATTGCGGGTGAGTGCCGGAGAAATGCGTTTTGGAAATGCCAACACACGTTTCCAGTGCACTCTCCTTTGTCCCAAAGTAGGATTGCATTGGGGGAAGGGAGCAGGGGGAAGGGTAGGAGGGAAGGAGAAGCCTGGCTGGCTTTCCTTAAAAAAAAAAATGTATTAGTGATCCTCAGGATTTAGAAGTATGAGTTTGGTGGTTCCTGAGGTCCAAAAGGTTGGTGACCCTGATCTAACCAACCCAAACACTGTGTTTTGTATGCTATGGTTTATAACAAATTATGTGGATCTAGTAGATTGTTATTTAATGAACAAATCATTGTAGTGTTATGCATGAATCCAGCTGAACATACATATACATCTTGAGATCCCATCTCTTTAAGAAGAATCCAAATAAACTTACTCATACATTTTGGAAGAAACTGGAGTGACTTTGAACCCAGATTATAAATGCTTTTCGTGTGGGGTCTTGTTCATTTAACTTTGAATAGGCACTAAGTGTACAGAGGACTATCTTTACATTAAACTGAAAATACTGGTGCGATTACAATGAACAGAGTTTTCAACTCTTTTTTTTCAGGGTTATATTGTGAACTCACTACCCTATGGGACAAGGTAGCCAGAAATAAGAAAATTATAATATCATGCTATGAGACAGCAATGGCAAACCATTTTCATATCATGGAAAACAACATGGATGTATCTCTCTAGGTCATAAGGGACGGAGATTAACTCAAAGGTGATTCTGCTTCGCAAGCATAATACTTTCTGATTATTTAATTAACTTATGTAGCAATCGCAATTAACAGGGACATTGGTATTTAAGTTTGACAAGCAATAATTAGAATAATCATTAAATAAATAATAATTAGAATATTTAAATGCAGCATATTTAAATTTTAATTAAACATTTGCAACCCATACCTCTTGGGATTTTATATTCAGTCTCCCCTGGTTTTCTTAAGTTTCTCAAAATATAATCAGAGTGCATGTTAATCAGGAGACCACTGAGCCAGGCTGCAATCCCTGGAATAAACATATTAAAGCAATGAACTGAAATGTAGGATTTATTTAAAAAAATAATAATGTAAGTAGTCAAGTTGTATATATGCTAGAGAAAATGGTTCAATGAATTGAGCCCAAAATTTCCATTGATAAACAGTTGTTGGTGAGTTTTGCCCCATTTTATGATGTTGCTTGCCACAGTTGTTAAGAGAAACACTGCAGTTGTTAAGTGAGTGACATGGTTGTTAAGTGAATTTGGCTTCCCCATTGACTTTACTTGTCAGGTCACAAAGGGGATCACATGACCCAGGGACACTGTAGCCATCATAAATATGAGCCAGTTACCAAGCATCTGAATTTTGATGATGTCATCATGAAGATGCTGCAATGGTTGTCACTAAATGAATGGTTGTATTGGCTCTATTCAATCTGATTGAAGACCCAGGCTGAGGACAGTTCTGTATACAATGTTCCTATGCAGTTCTAAATTCTGGTTCAATTAATAATCAAAACTGATTATGAGTAACTCAGCATTGATGATATGAAAATTTCATCCAATCCTGCCAGATATTGATGAGACTGGAGCCATTTGCTTGTTTTCCCATGCAGTTTGGCAGAGACATAAAAAAGGCAGATTTCTGTAGTGAGGTTCTTTTTCATAACAAGCACATAACATGCACAGAAAACAGTGCAAATTGCCATCTAAAGCTTTGCTTTAGGTATGTACTACAATCTGGAGATGGAAACTTTAGCTTCTGCAGCCGTTTCCTCCCCTTTTTTATACTGGGCTGGTTCACTGAGCAACTTAAAGCAAAGTCCTGAAACTGACACTTGCCCAGACTTGTGTAATATATATAATTGAGAGGAGTTGTCTCTGAATTGTAATACTACATGCTTGGCAAGAGGTCCCAATGATTGTTGCTTCCAGGAAAACTTTGATTCCTTGTTTTCTCCATTCACATTATATTTTCAATACCGGTAATCCTCCCTTCTCATGATCCTCCTTCTTATGATCTCACTTCTCTTATCTCTTATCTTTCCTATTGCCTTCTCCTACTAGTACATTATGATTTAACAGTTGTTGTTCTAGCCTAGTGTATGATTTTTGACAGCACATATTGGATCCTGCAACATTATCCTGAGACACATATATTTACCTTCATTCTTATGATTTATGATCTATGATAGGGACCCCTAGACTTGCGGACTTCAACTCCCAAAATTCCTGAGCTAACATGACTGGAGGAGGAATTCTGGGAATTGAAATCCAAAAGTCTTATAGCTGTCAAGTTTGGAGACCTCTGATCTATGACTTATCATTTTGTTCTTTGTATTTACACTGAGAGCTTATGCACTGGACACAAATTCATTATGTGTCCAATCACCCTTGGCCAATAAATACTTCTATCTCTGAATGGCGGCCCAGATTTGCAATGATCAAAGTTATTATGACACTGGAAAAAAACTTTTATGATCAGTCCTTTCATCTTTCATTTCACAATATCCCTGCAGTCGCATGATTGAAATTCAGGTACTTGGCAACCAGCAGGTGTTTGCAATCATTGTAGCATCCCGCATTCACGTGATCACCATTTGCGCAGTTCTAACAAGCCAGCTTCCAACAAGCAGATTAAAAGTAGCCTACAGTAAAATTGCAAGTCACGCTCATGTGATGTCCCTCTTAACGACCATATCACTTAGCCACAGAGTTGTTGGTTCTAACTGTCTGTGGTCCTTAAGCAAGGACTCCCTGTAGATTAGAATTGCCATACTGATTTGCCCAACTAAATGCACTTCTTAACCAGTGGTAGGATTCATTTTTTTTTACTACCAGTTCTGTGGGCGTGGCTTGGTGGGCGTGGCAGGGGAAGGATACTGTAAAATCTCCAGTCAGAGGTGGTATTTACTGGTTTTCCGAACTACTCACAATTTCCGCTACCGGTTCTCCAGAATTGGTCAGAACCTGATGAATACCACCTCTATTCTCAACATTTCAGCAGCACTGATCTACTTGTTGCCTCTTCATAAACAATGCTAACTTCCACTAGATAGTAGCTAAGAGATACAACTGCTTGCCCACTCTTACCATCTCTTTGCTCACTGGATTTCTTAGATTAGTTGTTCTCGTTCAACAAAGCCTACCTCAGCGGTTGTTTTAGAGATAAAATTAAGATACAGTGCCACCATGTAAGTCATTTTGAGTGGGTCAGAAACACAAAAAGAAATAACACTGGGGAAAATATGTTGCGACTACATGTTCTGTTTACTTAAATAGCTAAAAAAATAATGAATCACTTCTTTCTCCAAGACTTCTGCTTCAATACAGTAATAAGTGGGAATTCATTTCTCAAGAAGGTACTATTTCAGTTTGAGCAAAAGAAAAAAAGCATAGCTTAAGCCATTCAGTATAAGAAACAAAGATTAATTGTTGAGTCTGACATACACGTATTACTTGAATTGGCTCACCAAGAATGAAACGTGGTTCTGTTAGCCAGTTGGATGAATATTCTGCATAATTAGTTAAACTTCGGCCTTGCAAATACCCATTATATAAACAGAATATAAATGCTGACACAAATACAAAAAATGGTGTTGATTTTCCTCCACGGATTATGAAAGGAAAGATGAATGATCTGGAATATGAAAAATAAATTTTTTATTTAATTATAATTTTGAACATTGCAGAAATATACAGTAATTCACACACACACATTTGCACAGGCATATTTTCAAAAGCAAAACTCTATCATTAGGTCACTTTCCATTTCAAAAAACTCAAAAGATGAAACATTAATAGTAAATACTCATACATACATACATATACATGCGCATGCACACACACACACACACACACCACTAATATTTAAGTTTCTGAAGTATGTGATGCATATTGTACAAGCAGAAGACCCTATACTATTCCAGACAAATGGCTGTCCAGTTTCTTCTTGAAAATCTCCTGAATGTTGGTGTCATGGCAAGGGAAGAAGATTAAGACAGATACTTTGGAGAAAGCACAACACTTCTACACCCAACTGATAGGCACAGAAGAACTCGGTAGTAACAGAGAAGAACTGGAATCGGCCAGCCAAGCTGACCAACAATTGGAAAAGAATGGAAAAGAGCAGGAAGAAGAGGAAAAGAAAAAAGAAGAAAGACCACAAGAAGAGAACAGAGTAAGAACAAGGGCACAAACAGGAACAACAGGAACTAGTTAATAGCAGCAAAGAAGGAAAATGGAAAACAATTTGAAAATACTGTCAATAAATATAAAAGGACTTAATTTTCCATCGAAACAGAACCAAACTTTTAAGAAATTGGCAAAACAAAAAATGTGTACCGCCTACAGAAGGTACACATTAGAACTCAGGATAAAAATATTTACAATATAATAAATTAGGAAAACTTTATACAGCACTAGCACAAGAAAAAAAAGAGGGGTAGCAATTTATGTTAGATAAGGAATAGAGACAGAAGTACCATATGCAGATTCAGTGGGGAGAACATTAATGTTAGAAGTTGTATGGGAACAGAGAAAATTCTTACTCATTGCAATCTATGCCCCTAATAAACAAGATACTTACTATAAAAAAATAAATGAAAAAAATTTAGAATTAGGTAAAGAAAATATTTGTATGATAGGAGATTTTAACACAGTCACGGACATAAAAAAAAGACTATCAAAGCACGAGTAAAAAAAAGAAAAAAAAGATCACTCTTCCAAAAACATTTTTTAATATGGCAGAAGAACAAAATTTAATAGATATATGGAGAATATATAGCCTAAAAGAAAAACAGTTCACCTTTTATTCCATTCCCCATAAATCATGGTCCAGAATTGATATGGCATAGATAAGCAAAACTCTAATGAAAGACATAGTGCAAATAGAAATAGTACCAAATATATGGGCAGATCATAATCCCCTAACAGTAACATGGAAAGGCCAATTAAAACAAAGAGGGAGATGGAGGTTGAACCCACAAATTCTGAGAGATAAAGAATATTTAGCAAAATTAAAAAGAGAATTAGAAATGTTTTTTGAAGTAAATACAAAAGAACACACCTCTCTGCAGAATTTGTGGGACACAACAAAAGCCTATTTAAGAGGATTAACAATTGCATACAATGCCAGGAAGAAGAAAAAAAAAGAAAGTAATGAGTTACAGAATGAGATTGGAAAATTGGAAAGACAAGCGCAATTAACACCAGAGAACGAGCAAATCATAAATAAATATTATTTAGCTAAACATAAACTGAACATATTAGAACAGGAAAGAAACTTAAGAGCATTGAAATTAGTAAAGCAAAACTACTTTGAAAATGCCAATAAACCGGGAAGGTGGCTGGCATATAAGTTAAGGAAGGAAAAAGAAAAGAGATGAATTCAACAATTACAAGATAAGGAGGGAAAGATACAAAACAATATGGAAAAGAAAAAAGAAATACTGGAATATTTTAGTAAACTCTATAAACAAGAAGATATAAGTAAAGAGAAAATCAAACAGGATATAGAGGAAGAAAATATTCCAATACTAACAGAAGAAGAAAGGGAAAGATTAAATGAAGAGATCACTAAGGAGGAACTTAAAGAGGCAATTAGTAAACAAAAAAACAACAAAACCCCCAGAACAGATGGATTACCTGCAGAATTATATAAAAACTTAGGTAAAATATTTGATCCAATCCTTTTAGAAATTTATAATGAAGTACTTACAGAGGCAAAGCCACCAATGTTGTGGAGAGAAGCATATATTACATTAATACTGAAGGAGAGCGCAGATACCACCCACATAAAAAATTATAGACCAATTTCTTTATTGAACGCCGATTACAAAATATTTATGAATATAATGGTTGATAGATTGAAAAAAATATTAAGTAGATATATACACACAGATCAAAATGGTTTTCTTCCAACAAGACAACTAAAAAATAACAAGGACAGTACTAGATATTTTATTTATTTATTTATTTTATTTATTTGATTTGCCAATTGTTTACAAGATAATAAGTATAAATGTATACATAGTTGTGAATACATGAAATGGTTACATATAAGAAAAATAAAAGAATAAGAGAAACAATAGGACAGGGACGGTAGGCACGTTGGTGCGCTTATGCACGCCCCCTACAGACCTCTTAGGAAAGGGGTGAGGTCAATAGTAGACAGTCTAAGGTTAAAGTTTTTGGGGTTTGGGGAAGAAACTACAGAGTCGGATAGAGTATTCCAGACATTGACCACTCTATTGCTGAAGTCGTATTTCCTGCAATCAAGTTTGGTGCGGTTTACTTTGAGTTTGTATCTATTGTGTGCTCTTGTGTTGTTATGGTTGAAGCTGAAGTATTCATTGACAGGTAGGACATTGCAATGTATGATTTTGTATACCATGCTTAAGTCAGACCGAAGACGGCGTAATTCAAGGTTTTCTAGTTCTAGAATTTCAAGTCTGGTGGCATAAGGTATTCTACAGCGAGTAGAGGAGTGGAGAACTCTTCTTGTGAAATATTTCTGGACTTTCTCAATTGTGCTAATATCAGATACGTAATGAGGGTTCCAGACTGATGAACTGTATTCGAGTATTGGTCTAGCAAATGTTTTGTATGCTCTGGTTAGTAGTGTGATATTACCAGAGAAAAAGCTACGTAGGATTAGGTTAACAACTCTTAATGCCTTTTTGGCTATGTAGTTGCAGTGTGCTCTAGCACTTAGATCATTAGAGGTGAGTATTCCAAGGTCCTTTACAGAGCTTGGGTCATCAACAAGATCTTGACTATTCAGCTTGTATTTTATTTTCTGATTTTTTTTGCCAATATGTAAGACAGAGCATTTATTTGTTGAGATTTGAAGTTGCCATTTGTTTGACCATTCGGATACATAGTCAAGATCTTTTTGTAGGGTAGCAGTATTGTCTGTGGTATTGAACAGCTTTACATCATCAGCGAAGAGAACGCAATTGCTCTTAATATGATCACAGAGGTCGTTTATGTAGAGTATGAAGAGAGTTGGTCCTAGAACACTGCCTTGGGGGACACCACTATTGACAGGTACAGAATTTGATAGGACGCTCCCAATTTTGACCATTTGTTGTCTGTTTGCCAGGAATGCTTCTATCCAGTTATTCAGTTGTCCAGAGATACCATAGGATTTTATTTTTAGGAGTAGTTTGTCGTGTACCACTGAATCAAAGGCTTTACAGAAGTCTATGTAGATTGCGTCTATTGTTTTGCCCTGGTCGAGTTGTGTCGTCCATATGTTTTTGCAGTGTAAGAGTTGCAGATTACAGGATAGTTTTTTTTCTGAAACCAAATTGTTTATTGGAGAGTAGGTTATTTGTCTCTAAGTGAAGGATGATGGATTGGTTAATAATTGATTCCATGACTTTACAGGTGACGCAGCATAAGGAGATTGGCCTGTAATTTTCAACTAGGCTTGGGTATTACAAGGTGCATCCAGAAAAAACAGGCTGCACCAGTTTTTCTGAATGCCTAAAAAGCTTTTGATAAAGTAAATTGGCAATTTATGAGACAACAAGTAAAGGAGATGAAATTCAGGGATAAATTTGAAAAAAATAGAGTCAATATATTCAAGCCAAAAAGACCGGATAATAATTAATGGAGAAACGACAAATTCATTTGAAATAGGAAAAGGAATCAGGCAGGGATGTCCACTTTCACCTCTGCTCTTTATCATGACACTAGAAATTTTGTTGAGGAGAGTTAGACAGAATTTGGAAATAAAAGGACTAAAAATTAAACAAGAATACAAGGGCCAAGCATTTGCAGATGACCTTGTATTCTTCATAGAAGAACCAATTAAATCTGGACCAAATTTAATTAAAGAGATAGAGAGATACGGAGAAGTGGCAGGTTTAATAATCAATAAGGACAAAACCAAAGTGATAACAAAAAGTTTAACAGAGAAACAAAAAAAGAAATTAGTAGAAGCAATGGGTATATAAATTGTTAAAAAAATTATCTAGGAATTTAGCTCACAGCAAAATGTTCAATAATAAAAGAAGGTAATTATGTAAAATTGGTATTAGAAATAAAAAAGGATTTGGAAAAATGGGGGAGACTACAATTATCAATGTTAGGGACGATCAAAATGAACATCTTGCCAAGAATACTATTTCTCTTTCAAACCATTCCAATTAAATTAGATTAAAAATTCTTTAATGAATTAAACAAAATTACCATGAAATTTATTTGGTCAGGAAAAAAAGCGAGAATAAAATTAAGCTCACTACAAGATAATAGATGCAGAGGTGGATTTGGACTCCCCGCCTGGGAAATATACTATAAAGCAGTGGTCTTAACATGGATTAAAGAATGGGCCAATCTGAGAAATAAAAGAATCTTAACCTTAGAAGGGCACGACCTCGAGGCGGAGTGGCATGCCTTCATGTGGAACCCTGGAAATAAGAGATATACACACTTTAATAGACATGTAATTCGAAGCTCATTATTGAAAGTGTGCAAAGAGATTAAACATAAACATTATATGAAGATTCCAGGGTGGGTATCAGTCACGGAGGCACTGTTCCACCCCAGTGCTTTAGAAACTGGAAGAAAGATGAGATATTATGATGTCCTAAATTCCCGAGGATTAAAGACGAACCAAGAACTTAGAGAACA